TCTATCTCACTTTAAATTGCAAAAGTATACACTAGTTCAGCCACAAAAAACAGACTTATTAACAAATTCACAAACAGATACAATGGAAGGAATAAGGAACTTGTTCCTTATTCCTTTCATTGTATTTAAGCCCTAAAGACTTTCATGTTAATATACCTGGGATCCAAAGTAGTTGCAATTTGTAGAAACAATGTGACATTGTAATCTGCATATCGTTCGAACAACATATCCGACAAAGATTCTTTAAAAGTCTTAGCTGTGTTACTGTCTGATTCTTTCACTTTAAGATGCGAAGATACAAGTTGCCAAAGTAATGGTTTCAATAGGGATATCAGAGGCATTTTTTCTTCACTTAATGTCATAATGGTAACTTTGAACGGTGCGAGAACATTGACAATATCTTCCATAATTTTCCACTGTTCGTTAGATATTTCGAACATTTCATGATCTATCCCATCGGTACTTTCTAATATAGAGACAATCATGTTACGACGCGCAATTATTTGTTCCAGCATCGTGTACGTAGATATCCATATGGCTGGATAATCTAGGAATATAGTATTTTCATCCAACTACAATAAGAACAATAAATATTAAATTTATAAAATTTTACTTACCAATTTTATACATATATGCTAGAAACAAAATTTAGCCTTTAGCAAAACTATCTAATTGAAACATCTTTCATTCAACAGCAACCAGATATCTTATTTTACATAACAAAGATATTTAGTTGCTTCGGCGAAGTAAATTTTGATTCTTTATAAATAATAAAAAATATTTGTTTATATTAATTAAACAGTTTTTTTAACTGTTATATATTTTATTGCAGAAAAATTTTGATTCACAAAAAATTTTTCTAGTAAACATTAAATTGTATGTGTGTTAGAACCAAAATATTTTATGCCAAATATTAATTCATAGTATTAGGAAAATACCTCTGACAATTGTTCTTGCATAGTCAAGGTTTCAAGTGCACGTGGATGGCTTATGATAGCACCAATAACCGATCTGCATTTGGCCAACGTTTGAGATACTTCAGGATTCTCAAAGCAAGCTTGTGCGCACATTTGCAGAGTATGAAGCAAGCACGGCACCACGGTGAAGCCACGGTTAGTCAGCGCCGTGAGCAAATTTGTTTTTGAAGTACTAACAACCACTGCTGTTATTTTCTCTATTTTAAGCTCCCATTCACGTAACAGAGACTCTATGACAGTTCCCCAATGGGATTCCTCCCAATCTAACGGTGCGTGAAAAGTGCTTAAAATCTTACATTCTAAAGTAGCCTCTTCATCATTTTGATAATAAACTGACATAGTAACAAAATTCTCATTGTTATTGGATCGCCACTCCTCAATGGTTAATGCCAATTCAGAGGCGATATAGGACAAGGAAGTTCTCACCGATTCCCGGAAGGTATCATATATTCCAGGTATTATCTCTTCTTCCAGCTTGTTCTTGCTGGGGATCTCGCAAGGTGAGCGTAGAGTTGCCACTAGTCTTTGGAATCCACGTCCCTCTACAATCTCGGGCAATTGCAAATCCATAATTAGAAAATCCGCTATAGCTTCCGACACAGTTTTTACATCGACCGACTGATTGACATTCTCCTCCATGAGGAACGCCACATTCTGCCCGTTACTGTTAATACCAGAACCACCCTTGATCATTACTCTCAGTGGTTGACCAATGGTGATATCATCCTCCATGTTTGACAGACTTATGTTAGGATCTGTAACAAATTGTATATCACCGTCTATCTGTACGGTACCATCTGCGTTAGTGGTATAGATATATTTAGCAGGGCTTAGGCCCTTGAGCAGCTTCTTCTGCATCTTCCGCTCCTTGTTGTCCAGCGAAAGAATCTGTTTTGTACTCGGCAGATTGGACGATTCGAGGTCCCTTAATTCCTGAGCGTGCTTGTTCTGCAGGTGCATACGCAGGTTGCTAGTATTACGATTGTAGGCGATCTGCGTCTTGCACAGTATGCAGACAATCTTTACCTTGGTGAGAATGTCGCCGTCGTCGGTGGCTGGAAATCCAAAGAATTTCCAGTAAATACTTCGCATCGACGGCGGCACCACCAATTTCTTATATGTATATGTGTGCTTCTCCTCCATCATTTTCGCCAGTACCATTTGTATATCATCCTTGTTGTCATCGGACGTGCCTGGCTTTGCCACCGGGTTGTTCACCAACGTTTGTTTGTTACTCTCCATGCCGTACACTCAAGTACGTTCGACGTACGGTCACCTGCAATCACCGGTGTAGGCATGTAGATATATCGTTTTAAGTAGGCCTATAGCAGGAGAGCTTGGAGAGTGGAGAGCGAGTGTCCACTACGACGAAAGCTCTAATAATTGCTCACCCAATATTCCCAATAATCCAATTAATCAAATACAACTACGACATTCAATCAATCGGGATGAAATGCCGAATACAATTCATATCGCGTGTCTCGTGTGCAGACTGCAAACCATGGAAGAAGGCATCGCCGCGCGAGCGTCGCGCGTCGGTCGCCTCGCCGCGCCGGCGACGCGAACAGACGCGAGTGCGCTGTACGAACTGCGAACTGTGACGAATTTTACCGCGAATGTACAGCTCCGATATATCAAATTTCTCCCCACATATACACAATATACATACTTCCGGACCGACGTCGCTCAGTTCCACACTCTTTTTCGCGGCTATCGATGTTCAATTCAATCCATCGCGTCGAAAGGCAACGATGGCCCCCGCGCGATCAGCTATCGACTTATTACTTGCGATGATGCGATATCGACTTTTGTACCCGTTCGTTTCGCGAGAGGAGTATCGTTTAATCGTTATATCTATAGACCTCTCGCCCCCGATCGATTCGAGTATCACATCGTAATGGCGGTAATGGCGAATGGGACGCAATGAGACACGCTCGCTAACGAACATTCGAGCAACGACGCACGATCAAAGAGATATGTATATATGTAGTACACTGCTGTTCATTAATCGAGTCCCTCGAGTGTAGGAGGGTGGAGAAGTGTGTAGGGTAAGCGCCATCTCATCTACACCCAAGTGCAACTAAAGTGAAACTCGATTATTGAACAATAGTGTACATACATACGTATGTATATGACTGTGGTCAAAATCTCTCCGCAAATGCTTTGAAGCGTTTGATGGACCAATTAGAAGAAAGAATTTTACAAACTGACCAATTACACAATGCTACAAAGCGTTTGTAGCATCGCGTTGACCGAACCCTATTATATCATACCTTGCATTCGTTTACGCAGCGGTTAGCGCAAAAATATTTTTTTATCCTTGTTATTCATCGAGTGTTAAACTAGTAGGATTAAATTAGTCTCTTTTCTGTTTCTGCACTAGACTGTTCTAGAACTATCTTTCTCGCTTTAAACAAATATCAAACGTATATCTTTCTCACTTTCAGTTCCAAAAGTGTATAGTCAGTGGCTGCGTTCAGCAGACTCAACAGTTTTGCAACCGTTTTATGACTGGGTGCATTCAGTACTACAACCGCTCACTGAGCATTCAGTGAGCTCTTGGGGTGGCACCCAGTTGGACACGGCTCAATTGGACACGAGCCACTCACAGCGCTTGAGACTACAAAGCTCCTAAGCACCGGTCGCTGTTATTGATGGTGTCCAATCGAGCCGTGATCAATCGGGATCACCCCAGCTCTTGTATCTGTTTGGTCTATATTTTTAGTTCTAACGGAATATGCCAATCAGATGCAAGAACTCATTGAGCGCTCAGTGAGCGACTGTAGTACTGAATGCACCCATTTTTCTCTCAGATTGGACTATTCCTTTAAAGCTAAAAATATAAACCAATCAGCGCGACGAATCATAAAACGGTTGTAAAACTGCTGAGACTGCTGAACGCAACCAATAAAAGGTTGCAACACTTTTTAATTCGATAGTTTTCGGAACGCGCAAAAATTCTAACAGAGCAGATCACCATCTCTGAAGGCCTATAGTCAGCGGTTATGATAGGTAAAGGCCGCAGCACACACTCTTGCATAACGCATAATGCATAGTGCATAAAGGAATCAACCAATCAATATTCTTCTTTTCCATGGAATGGGAGGAAAGGAAAGATTCTGATTGATTCGTTTATACACTATGCATTATGCGTTATGCAAGAGTGTGTGCTGCGGTCTTTACGATAAAGCAGGGAGCACAGACTCTTGCATAACGCATAACATGAGGCATAAGAAATTGAACCAACCAGAGTTCTCTATTACATGGAAGAGAAAGAAACGGAAAACTTCGATTGGTACATATTCTTACCCCGGATCTACAATAGGTGTTTTAAGCCTTATGCCGTAAGAAATTGACCAATTACAGTCGAATCCGAGAAGAATAAGCGACTGTGATTCGCCCATTTCTTATGGCTTAAGGCTTAAAACCCTATTGTAGATCCGGGGTTAGTCCGGATCTACAATAGGTGTTTTAAGCCTTAAGCCGTAAGAAATTAACGAATTACGGTCGAATCCGAGGAGAATAAGCGACTGTGATTCGCCCATTTCTTATGGCTTAAGGCTTAAAACCCTATTGTAAATCCGGACTTATGGAAGCACAATAGAACAATGGCCGGTTGCTTTGGCACGTTGTGGTAAATGTGATTTATTAAGGTTCGTAACCATCGACATCTAGAATGGACCGCTGATGGCAATGGTGGGGGTAGAAAGACGATTAGAGTGAGAGGCAGGAATAATAAGATCGTTCTTATTCTGTTTACTGAAGCCTGATTGGTTGTTGTTAATCCAACAACCAATCAGGCTAGTTAGAAACAGAGTAAACAGAGAAAGAACGATCTTATTATTCCTGCCTCTCACTCTAATCGTCTTTCTACCCCCACCATTGCCATCAGCGGTCCATTCTAGATGTCGATGTTCGTAACCGGTCGGCCATTATCGCCACACTTCGGATTCAGTTCCGAGTCGCGCAAGCGCAAACGCAAATTTTATCCCCACACTTGTGTGGCACGTCCGCCATGTCTATTTCCCCTTTCCTGATCCCGCTTTCACCCCTGTGCTTTGCGTTTTCAGTCACAAGCGGATGTACAACAATATCACGTGAACCAGCAATTTGTTGTCATCTGTGTCTCGTTTTTCAATTCGGCAGTAGACGTAACTCTCTGATGCATCATGGCGAGTACGACCGAAAACATTACTTGCGGTGGTTTTGTGTTTCTCAACAACTTTGACTCAGCAAATCTAGCCAAAGTGGAACCAGTAAAGATTCCGGAAAACCTCGAAAAAGGTAATCTCCTGATACAGGAACGCTTTTTATGGATCTACGACGAATAGGCAAAATAATATGTACCAATATTTGAAAAATATGCTACTTATTTGTTTTATTAATAAGAAGTGGGCCCATGTTTGTCTTTAATACAGATTCTATTTTTGTTGGAATAGACTCATGCTTAAATAGTGTAGCAACTGCAAACTACAGTGCAATATTATTCTATTCTCCTAATAAAACATCTTTTGATTGTTTAAAAAATATTGCAAGAGGAAATTTATGTAACTTGGAAATTTGGAAACTGATCAATATTCTGATTCTGAAACTTAATATCAATTTGATATCATTGCGTTATCGTTACGCAGCTTTTTTTATCATATATATCTGCATATAGTATAACGGTACTGATTGTTAAATATTGCAGAATGAGGATAAAGAGAAAAAATGTTGCTATTTTGAGAACAGATGACAATTTTTAAAAATAAAATGGAAAAAAAATTTTCTCTAAATGTCATTTATATAATATATATGTGTTGTTGCAATTGAAAGATACTCTACTTACTAAAAGAATTAGGGAGACAACTGGATATTCAGCTAGTATCTGGTTTCTAGCAATATATGCGATTAAAATTTTATATTAAAATGACTTACATCATGGTCTGAATATTCAGAAAACTTTTATTATCACTGATATTTTATTATCACTGATATATCTGGCTGGGTACTGGATATTTGCCAGATATCCGGTACTGTATTAAAAAAAAATATGTCAGTGATAATAGAAGTTTTCAGTGTATTCACACCATGATGCATGTCATTTCAATATAAAATTTCAGCCACATATGTACAGGATGTTCCAGAATAAACCATCCACCAAATATTTCATGTGTAAGTAGATCATCAGACTAAACTGAGTCAAAAAGTCCTCTAACATTTTGCAATTTTTGCAATAGTTAACAAGATATATCAAGTACTTACTGAGTAAAAAATGATTGAAAACCAATATTCGGCAATTTTTAGTAATTAATATCTTGTTAACTATTACGAAAATTACAACATGTGGTACATATATATATATATATATATATATATATATATATATATATACGGGGTGTAATATATTTCTAGAAACCTAATACTAGCCGAAAATATCCGGTTACATCCCTAAAAAGAATAATATAACAATAGTTATAAAACATGGCTTTATTCGAGCTATATAATATTTTGTGAACTTCAAATACATATATTACATAAAATCAAGTTAATTTAAAACAAAAATCTCATAAAGTTCTCATAAAAACTATCGACGTATTACAAACGTTTTGGCTTACAAAGCCTTCCTCAGTGTAAATTGTGATAGATTACTTAATTAACAAAAATTTAACCTCCCTAATCTATTGTCAGATTGTATTATACATTTCGTTTATTGTCGCTGTCTATAATATAACATTTCATTGATTACTATTCAAGCATTGTGTGACTATTCCAATAAAGATAGAATATACACTACAAGCAAGTGATGTTAATTTCTTATTAATAAAATAAGTAGTAAAATATATATTTGTGTTACTTTGTTTATCCCCCTTCTCGATTATCTTGTACATTTTCATGCCTATATTAACATAAATGTTATTGGACAGGAGAATTGTTTTTCTTGTACTCATTGATTAAATTAACTGATGTTACTTCTTGCGAGAATCTAAATATATTGCAATGAAATATATGATTGCTAATGTACTTCTTATGTAACGATACAATATCAGGTTTTACTATTTTTAGATGTCTACGAGATTGAAGGCAAAACAACCAACAAATTAAATTCCAAAGACACGTTGGATTACGAATTCAACTTATGGACAAAGCATGATTGTCACGGTACACAATTCCAAAATAACAATAGGACGTGGTTTTATTTCGGTGTCAAGTCTAATCATCCGAGCGTCTCAGTCAGATTTAATATAGTCAATTTGAACAAGCAAGTCAAGATGTTCAGCCAAGGGATGTGTCCAGTCTTTAAGATTGTACCAGGACACTTGCACTGGGAACGGATTCGCGAGAGACCTACATATACTGTAATTGTAGCACAGTTTTACACACACACACACACACACACACACACACACACACACACACACACACACACACACACACACAATATAATATATATAAAAGAATGTATCTAAGAATATAGCAAGGTCATAAACATGTGTAATAATTGTGTGGCAAACATATAGCGTATTATTTAACGTTGCAGGTTGATCAAAAAGGAAACGATTTTACTTTGTCGTTCCTCTATTATATTCCAGAAAATTCAAAAGCCATTACTTATTTTGCTTTTACCTATCCATTCTCATATACAGACTTACAAAATTATTTGAGAAAAATTGATATAAGAATGGAAAAAAGAAGTGTAATATGTACAGATGATATCTATTATCATAGAGAATGTGCAATAAAATCTCTGGAGGATCGTAGATTAGATATATTAACAATAAGTTCTTACTATAACATATCAACGGAGAGAGAAGATAGACTGAGTAATATGTTTCCTGAGAAAAGCGAGGAGAGGCCTTACAAATTTCGAGACAAGAAGGTATTTTATTATAACGATAAGGATTTTTATCTCTTTAAAAACAAAATCTGTATATACATACAGGGTGTATCATTTTAATTGACGCACTAAAATATCTCTTGAATAATGTGTTTTAGAGAAAAATGTTTCAGACAACAGTTATATGGTTTGGAGGGGGCACATAAGATGGTTATTGGTTTAACCTTGGAAAATTGTTTGAAGGTCACGTAAAGGTCATCACCAATTTCTTAAATGGAATCCCATATATTTCATTGCATATTCTTGTAGCTTACCTTGAGAGCTTTCCAAAACACTATAATTAAGTTCATTTTTATAAAGTACTTTTCGAATTATAAGGCTTCAATGGTACAGTACCGCCGGCATTAGCATTATCCAAGGTGTCCGACCGACGATTAAATGTTATTCAGAATCATCAAATATTATCTAAGTTATGATTCTGAACATTTAAGAGGTTTTAGTCGTCGGTCGGACACCTGGGGTAATGCTAATACTGGCGGTGCTGTGACTTGTAAGCCTTATAACTCGAAAAGTACTTAATGAAAATGAACTTAATTATAGTGTTTTGGAAAGCTCTCTAGATAAGCTACAAGAACATGCAATGAAATATATGGGATTCCATTTAAGAAATTGATGATGACCTTTACAGGACCTTCAAACAACTCTTCAAGATCAAATCAATAGCATCATCTTATGTCTACCTCTAAACTATATAACTTTTGTCAAAGCATTTTTTTCTAAAATGCACTGTTCAAGAGATATTTTCGTACATCGCTTTAAAATGATACACCTTATATATACATACATATATACAAATTAAATTATTTCAAAGGCATAAACCACGAACGCCGATTCTAAATGGCTTAAATACTATATATATTTTCTTTAATCATTTACAATAATAGACGTTTCGGTCCTAAATTGGACCTTCTTCAGTATTACATTAGATTAAATAATAGAAAGATACAAAAATTTTTTTTTTTTTTCCCCTTTAAGATACATATACTGAAATAAAAATATAATATGATTCAATATAATTTATTATATACTTAAAATTACGAACAAATTCGGTCGTTATTCATCTTCATTCAGTCATACTAGTCTTTATGAGCAACATATCATGACCATGTAGTAAATTGTCAAGCGAATTCCATGATAAGCAAAACAAATTTCCAATAGCCAGCATTATTTCTCCCGACATCAAGTTACCCAGAAGTACCAATTTCTATTAAATTATGTAAAGATAAGTTATTGTTTGAGATTCAATTATTAATATTTATAGAACGAAATTGACATTATTTATGTTGATTAATTATTATTATAATGTTTAATTAATTTAAAAATATTCTTAATAATATTTGGTATTGATGTTTATTTCGTGATAATTTATCATTATTGAATTCATGTAAGCAGCTATTGGAAAATTATTCATACAGAAGTTAAAAATTTATTTTTAAAAAACGATTAATGTTAAGTTATTAAAATATATTACAGAAACAGATTACCTGTGTATGTCAAAAGTTAAAAATGCATTCCAAATTTAAGACAATAGAAGTGATACAATTATTACACACAATTTAGAGATTAAGACAATAGATGTGATAAAAGTTGTTCGATGCGATACAGATCGATGCTGAGAACGTATTAGCTATATCAATACAAGTCTCGAAAGTTTATATACAATTTTTCAAGAACAAAAGAAAGATCTAGAACTAAATTGTTGATATAATGTTCAATAACGGAAAATAAATCTCTGGTAATTTATCAGTATCGTTTTGTTTATTAATACCACATTTCTGTTTTTTTATAAATATCATTTCAGAAGTTAATCTTTTCTGAAAAGAAGATTCATTATCCAAGATCTTAATGTTATTCCAATCAAATTTGTGATCAGAATTGATTTGGTGCTGTGCGACTACACTTTGCAAATTATTAGAATTAGTTGTACTAGATTTATGTTCCTTGATTCTTGTTTTAATTTTTCGTTTCGTTTGCCCGACATAAGAAGCTTCGCAATCAAGACAATTAATTTTATATATTACATTACAATTCTCTATTTTTTCAAGTTTATCTTTACCAGTTCTAATGATCGAATTTAGTTTATTTATTGGTTTATAAGCAATTTTGAAATCATTCTTTTTAGCAATCGATTTGAACTTTTCGGATATATTTTTCATATAAGGAACAATAAAATATTTAACTATATCATCACTCTCAGAATCCTGAATTTCGTTTTTGTACAAATTATTTCTTCGAGCCAGATTATTAATTCTTTTGTTAATAGTACTAAAGATTAAGTCTAACGGATAGCCGTTATTGAGTAGAATTTCAATCATTGCTTCTATATTCTTTTTGTGAAATCTCGGATGTGAGAGGAAGATAATTCTGTCAAATTGCCCTAATATAACACTTTTTTTATGTTCGATAGGATGATTCGAATAGAAGTTAAGTAGGCGTCCAGAATTAGTTGGTTTTTTATAAATATCGGATATAATATGTCCATGTTCAACGATCAAAGTAACGTCTAGAAAATTTATAGAACCGTCACAATTCTGCTCACAAGTAAATTCAATCTTGTCATGATATGCGTTAAATGTATTTAATATTTCATCGATTTGATTATCAGGTACCGCTAAAACAATATCGTCCACATATCTGTAATATAGTGGAATGTCAACATTTATTGTAGAGAGAACATTATTTTCGAAAATAATGTTCTCTCTACAATAAATTATTTTCGAAAATAATGTTCTCTCTACAATAAATGTTGACATTCCACTATATTACAGATATGTGGACGATATTGTTTTAGCGGTACCTGATAATCAAATCGATGAAATATTAAATACATTTAACGCATATCATGACAAGATTGAATTTACTTGTGAGCAGAATTGTGACGGTTCTATAAATTTTCTAGACGTTACTTTGATCGTTGAACATGGACATATTATATCCGATATTTATAAAAAACCAACTAATTCTGGACGCCTACTTAACTTCTATTCGAATCATCCTATCGAACATAAAAAAAGTGTTATATTAGGGCAATTTGACAGAATTATCTTCCTCTCACATCCGAGATTTCACAAAAAGAATATAGAAGCAATGATTGAAATTCTACTCAATAACGGCTATCCGTTAGACTTAATCTTTAGTACTATTAACAAAAGAATTAATAATCTGGCTCGAAGAAATAATTTGTACAAAAACGAAATTCAGGATTCTGAGAGTGATGATATAGTTAAATATTTTATTGTTCCTTATATGAAAAATATATCCGAAAAGTTCAAATCAATTGCTAAAAAGAATGATTTCAAAATTGCTTATAAACCAATAAATAA